AGGGAGGTAGTAGTGTGCATGATGTGAAAGAAATGTGGTACTACCTCTGCCATCTTAGCCCAATGCTCCGGCGTTATGTCCGAGCTATCCAGGAGCTCCTCCCACTCCACGACGTAAACCACGGTACACTACTACTCTCATATCGTGATGCGCCGAACCGTGCAGTCGGGCATGCCTGGCCGCTTCAGCTCCTCGAGATGGGAAATCTTCTCCGTGAGGAATCCCGGAACTGGGCGGAGCGACCCATCGCTGCCCGGTTGCATGCCCACAGTGCCCCCCGTGTATATCATCAAGACCTACACCAGAGTACCTCTAATAGGACAATCACATTTGCCATCTTATCAGACACCTTATGGAATTTTACATGTTTTGCAATCACTAAACTCATACCACATTTCTTCCGAATCGATAGTACTACCTTGCTGCTTTCTCGTGGGTGCTCACCGACTCCCACAGCCGGGTGTGACACGATCAGTGACGGTAATATGCCATCCGTCGGGATTTGTCTATTTTTAGCACCATCCTGAGAGTCTGCCATTTGAATAGCTACTACGGTTAAGTTTGAAACCGTGCCAAGAACCCAACAGGAGCTGCGTGGACGAATAGCAGATACAGGAGGAAGGACAAAGAGAAAGAGGTATGGTAGATATTATTACATATGATGGAGCGAAATAAAGAACGGCCAATCTACAAGGGAATACGTAAACGTTCATGACGCCAGCATAAGCCGCACAGGAGCATAGCAAGGACTGGTAAAATTCGCCAAACAGTGGCTAGCTACTACTACTCAACCGTTGCAAGAACATATCAAGGAAGGCATCTGAGCTGACAACGTCAACCAGAGCCTGTCGGAGCTTGCTCCTCGTCACACATATTCCCTCCAAAGGGCCGGCTGTCGATTCACTACAGTCATCATCATCTTCTTCATCACAAGAAGGGCTGGCTTTAGAGAGCTCGGCCTCGAGCATTTGGAAGGTATCCATTGTAACTCCCTGACGTCCCTCAGGGCCTTCCTCCACTTCAGCCGAGCGACTAGGTTGTGAATTATGGCTACGCGTAGGGGACTCCAATACCGCTTCCGTTGATGCTGGAGTAGTGTTCTTCCCACTACCCTTCAAAAGGCTCAGGATGTGCTGACCAGCGGCAATGTTGCTATTGCTGGTCAAGGAGGCACAGGAGTTAGAGCCTTCCACACTGGGCACACTCGAGGACGGAAGCATCTGAGATGGAAAGGGAAATCCTCATACCAGTGTTGGAGGAATGTATGTTTGCTCTCCTCAGCTGAGCTCAGAAGTTTCCTCACTAACTACGGAAATTAACACACGAGTTCGGGTAGGAGTTTTCAGGAAACAATAAGAAATTCTCAAAATTCACACAGACTCACCAACACATGTAGTTTGTCATGTACATATTTTCCCGTACTACCTCCTCGTGCTCGGATCCTTGAGCACTTCCTTCGCCGTTGCTACTATCATTCTGGTAGGGCGTAGTAGAGGCCACTTTAGGGGCACGTTGGGCCAATATCATCTTGAGGAGGTCGGAAGGAGATGGAGGGCTGGGGAGGGGCCGGGCGGAGAGTATCGACCCAACGTAGGAGCACACCTGTGATGACGCACAGTACGGCAGAGGGGCCTGGACACGCCTTACCCGGTCGGCGACTTCAGCACAGGTGAACCAAATAGCGAAAACTTCACTGTTGGCAGTCCTGAGGAAATGAAGTACATTTCCCTATGTTGAGGATCCCCCCGAGAATGGGCATGAATCGGACCTAAACCGTATCTTTCGACAGCCTACCTAAGATGCAAAGTATGTCCATGCTGCTCAGCAACTACGTCTTGAGTGAGAGTGATGGTCCATACGTCCCCTTGAGCGTAGTCAGGGATACCAGACGGAGACTGATCACTGTCCAGGAGCATCAATCGGAATTGACCATTGACGGTATTGACCAGATACAGGAGGCCTTCAATGTCGACCTTCTCCCAGGTGGGGGTAGGGTCGCCAGAAAGAGGAGAGTGGTTGAGGTGGAATAGAACAGCGTGCCTACATACGGGGAAAGGTACATTTTGCGGTCGTATGATAAGCCCAGTACGGTGCATGAGTCAAGATGCTCTTGATGCTACTGTCTCGTTTTTGAAGGGCGAGTAATGCCAGCTTGCGCTCTATGGGGCTTTCTTCCGAGTCGAAGGCCATCACAATGATAATGGAGGAAGGACTTCAAAGTGGATCCAGAAATGCAGGGAAGGCTGCCGGGAGGTCCAGACGGCAGTAACAACAACAACAACAGCCGAATGAGGGTGCATTGTCGACCTAGGAATCACAAAGCGGGTGCACGTCTCAGAAAAATGCAGCGTGCCGGGATCGAACCTCGCAATGATGAGGAACTGCAAGATTCCAAGTGTCGAACCAATTTCTCCTGCTACCTCTCTGCGGCTACCCTGACATGCTCTGTTGACTAGTCGGCGGCACTCTGACCGAGTGTCGTCGACTGTATGGCGTTCTGATCAATTCACCGTTCTGCTGATAATAATGTGCATTTAGTTACGCCTAGTAGTACCACTCCTTGCGCACTTCGTAGACCGCCATAGCGTCTTCTCACATGTCCGATTACAGTAGATGTTCTACTCAGGGGCTGAGGTGTTCTCAACCCATCATACCTCCCGTCTTGAATACGTGCCTGCTGGCTTCAGGTTAGATCCCCGCCGCTCTTCCCTACCTCTCCCCCTCTCCCCCTTCAGGCCAACTCAGGATACTCTTCCACGAAGCCGAGGTTTGCCTCACTCGAGTAGCTGCTCTGCTACAACCCTTACTCAGTGAGATATGCACCATCGATGCAGCCACCACAGGGGGCGCTGTAAAGTAAGGTTCATACTGTGCGCTATGCTACGAAAGCGGTATCAGGGTTGGCTTGTACGATCTACGCTTGATGCCAGAGCTCGAGAAACATGTGTATAAGAGCTCCTTAGAGGCTGGACTGAACGTGAAGGCCGTGGAGGTTGTCGCGGACCCATCAGGTGAGCTAGTAGGCTAAAAATTCCCAATATAAACTCCAACGTTGCTGCACTCAGCCCACCTACGGGTGGTCGTCCCTCCAGAGTCTGTACTGAGGGAGTACGAGGCGGAGTCGGAACAGATCCTTCTAGCTCGACTTCGATCAGCTTCCCAATACGTACATCTTCCCAGTCATACCACACCTCGGCCTATTCGTGTCCTTAGTACGGCGACGTGCGTACAGTGTCGAAGTCCATACCCAGTCACGTAGAAGAGCATGGCCCATTATCAGTCCATCTACAACCTTTACTGCGGCATCGATCTGAGGGTTCGGTTCTCTCTGCCGTCGCATCGTACTCGCCACCCAGGTTGGGCCCGTCAACTCCCCCGTGCAAAATCAAAGTCAGATATACCGTCGAATTTTACGATATGCGATCCGCAGCTCGAATGCGAAAAGCATTGAATCACCACAGCCCGAGCACGGCAATCTCGCCGTGTCTGCCAGACACCTACAGCTGGGCGCTCGCGCTGTAGTAGTAGCTGCGAGCATATCACGCCAGCCCAGCTGTGGCCTTAGATACTCCCGGTATGGTTTCAGAACTGTCGAGCCGGGAGATCTAGAAGGTGTTGGCAACTTCGGTCAGAGGTATAGCCTGGCCACCTCGTTTTGCCGTTACGCGCTCTTCCGTTGATGGCAGGCGTCGTAGCCCCTCGTACGAGGACGGCCGGGGCCATCTTGAGATAGACCTCCATAAGGTAGATCCTCCTCATCACCTCTCTGTCTGGGTACCAGTAGAGGCAGGTGGAGCTAGGGTTGGACAACCGTACAGCGGTCATGATACGCAATGTACCGCGAAACTATACCCAGCCGATGCTGTTCGCAGAACTAGTAGAAGTACTGGCCTTTCAATACTACCACCATTCTCCTGAGATGATGCTACCAGGCTATTCACATTGCGGGTTACGACGTTTATATGATCGATTACGTCTACATGCCGTATGACGTACGCCAGAAGGAGTCCAGTACATACGTCTTCGTCAACGTGAAGGAAGCGGTGATGATCGAACCCCTCTACGGCATATTCGAAGGTCAACTACGCATGAGGATACTCCCGACAAGCCACCCTCAGGTAGATGGTGGTCGCGAAGCACTGCCAAGGAGCAGCGTCCAGCGAGGATATCGTAAGATTCCTCCCATGGACGTCAGTGGACCCATTTTATATCTTGAAAGATACGCGAGGTGTCACGGACTCTCAGCTATACTCAACAGCCTTTCTCGAGGGGCAGCCCAGCAGCTTCCGGCATGGTGATCTCACGTTGGCTCAGGAGCGTATACCACACCTTGCCCTCCTCGTAGCTACCGTCCCTTGGTCGCTGTGACTCTGCCACAATCATCACCACAGCTCGAGGACACAGGCTCACTACCACTTATGGCTGGCGATGATGGCGCAGCCCCGCCGAGCTGTCCAATTGTGGAGCGCTCGAGTTAGTACCTTTCCCGAGGTCACTGATAGTGTGTATGTTAGAGTCGGTACGAGAGCCCCCCCCGGCCCTGCAGTTGAAGCCGACCCCTGACTCGACAGAGATCGTTCCTCAATCACCGACGTGGGTGCCACTACTGCCTCCCATAGTGTCGGGGTGATGGTCAGGGCCTTCCTCCCGAAGCACGATGGGATCTTCCCAACGCCTAAGGTGCTCCTCGAACCGGGAAGTGGGATCGGCTGGTTACTGCTACACCCCTGACCATTCGAGCGTCAGGTATCCTCGTGGCTCCCTCAAGTGATGAAGATGTGGTATCTCACGATAGTACGGACAGGTAGAGTCGATGACCTAGGCTGCCCACCATAGTAGGTCTTAGGAGTGGCAGTCAGGAGGATGAGGAGGCCTGCCGAGCTGATGGACAGGCGAGCACACACGCTGAGGAGCAGTGCCTGTCGACGGCTATGATGATGGTTGACCATTGCCTCGGGGTGGAGTGACCATTATTCGGGTTGGACCCTTACAGTGTGTCTATCGTGCCAGTCGCCCTTTAGGTAGGAACGCATTCTTCTATAGCTGCCGGGTTAGGTGACAATTCCTCATATTAGAGCTGCATTTTCCCTTTCTTTTCACTATAGCTGTTATTAACATTTTTTCCGAAACTATGCGCTTAAGAAATGTCTTCCTCCCGAGGGTAACTTACGTAGATGAGGACCCTCCCTTGGTGGCCATTATTTTCTCGCATGCTATTCATTTGCGGCAGTAGCATCAGTTTTAGTGTGTTACGCATCGTTAGATTTATTCCAACTGTTACAAGTACATTGTTTTTCCACTTATGAAATATTTATGGCTCCGCCTAGTTCGCAGGGCTTACCATCCCTCACCGGCCTGCTAGCCGGACACTTTTTTTCCGACATATACACGCCCCCCGTCGCTGTTGCCGATGGGTTCACCATGTTCATGATCATCCGGACCGTCTCGACACTTTCCTTCTGTTGCGTTCCAATGTGTCATTTCTAAGGGGCGCTGGAAAAATTCGAAAATTTATAATTTTACGCTAGTAATAAAGTAGTTTTTTTTGCTGAAATTCCGACAAGGTTTTGATATAGTGCTGAGTTATTATATATTTGGTCCGCATTAGCTGCTCTCAGCCTTCCTCATGTTAACCCGATACCATCCCTTCGTCACATGCCTCCGTTTGCCGCGCTTCCCTCAACATTGCAGGTGGTTTAATACTCAGTGGACGATACCCAAAGATTGTCCCGCGTGCTCCTCTACCAAGTCGAAGGACTACACGCCTTGTCTCGACTGCCCAAAGTGCCATTTTGTTGGGGCCTCCTTCTCCCCCTTCTGCCCCTCCTGCGACTCTCTGCAGCCCCCCAAGCCCAACGCTTGCCCAGTGGACTACTTCGCTTTATTGGACCAACCGCATAAGTTCGATTTGGATACGACCGTGGCCGAGCAGAGCTACCGGAAGTGGCAGAAAAGACTCCATCCGGATAAGGTGGCGAGTGTAGAGGGAGCTGACACCGACGCTGCGGCAGCCCATTCAGCCCTAGTGAACGACGCGATCAACGTGTTGAGGTCACCATTGAAGAGAGCCGTCCACTTACTGCAACTGCATGCCAGTATCGATGTTGATACCGAGGGGGAGGAGGGCAGGCCGGACCCGGAGGTGTTGGTGGAAATGTTTCAGTACAATGAGGAGGTTGATGATGCCGATGGGGATAGAGCCGAGCTGGAGAGGCTCAGTCGAGAGAACGATGAACGGTTGAAAGCATGTGAGGCACGTCTAGTGGAACTCTGCGATGAGGCCCATGACTGGGAATCCGTGAGGAAGGAAGTGATCCGCATGAAGTTCCTAGTGCGGTTACACGATCGGCTCCAAGGCTCTCCCATGTGAGTAGTTCGAGGAGCTAGCGTTTCCGTTCCTACTGCTCAGGCATGAGTAGCATTACTATACTTTTTCAAGCCCATTTCTTTGTCGTCGTTGAGTTGATACTGTCAGATTACCCCTCGCGGTCCTCCGGGTAGTTGCATAATGCTCAGTGGAGGCCCCTTCCCACCACAACAGACTGGGCAACTCTTCCCCTTCACCTTGGATACTCGCCGCTATAACTTCTATCCCTCGTCGCCGAGTGTAGCCCAGCTTCTATACAAGAGGCTATCGACTTCCTTGACAGGTCACAGGGGGATGCCTCCCACCGCCCTCTCCCCTCACGACTGCTCAGCTACTCCCCCCTCCTTCCCACCAGTTGGGTCTGCCTCCATCACCAACAGGCTCACTGGTGACGACGAGGAGCCTCTCGGTATTGGGTCATGCCCCTGCTGATTAGATGGGCAGCGGCCCCCTACGGCCAACTACCACCCTGCTAGGGTTGCCGCCCGGTGCCTTCCCTCCTGCAATGGCTAGCTCAGCGGTACCGGGCATTCCTCCAGGAGCTGTTGGTGACATGCACGCTAAAGTGGGTCCTGCGTCGCTCCGTCGAATTGTGTTGACAAACTCCAGGTTAACGCTCACCACATAGAAGTAGAAGCCACCATCGCTGAGGCTGAGGAGTTGCGGAGACAGCTCATACATCTCCTTGGCTTGGGACCTCGTGACGGTAGTGATGCCCAGCCCGCACTCGTTGGTGTTGCATTTCCAGGCATCTCCCCGGTATCACCCAACAGGAACGATTATTCAAGTCCAAATAGTGGCGTTAGAATGTCAGGATCTCCCGCCTCTCCTCAGTTGGTCATCCCGTCTTTTAGGATGCCCCCTCCTTCTGGCTCACTCGAGGGTAGTCATCGGTCGATCCCTTCTACTACGCCCTCCCTACCCCCGCCAACTAGAGGGGCAGCAGAGGAGGACCCCCGACTAACACCGGAGAAGCAACGGGCCTCTGCTAACGACCAACGGGTGGGGTCTTGGATGTCGCCCTGATGGGCATCTCTTCGTATCCAGTGGGAAGCCTCACCCGAGCGACCGACCTCCTCAGCACGCCGGTCCCCAGCGCACCGAGGGCCCTTCTCATCATCAGCGAATACCGTGAAATGCCTTCGACTCGAGTGTCCATTGTGGCCTCGCTTGGATAGGTGCCAGCGGCCCTCCCTGCTAGACAATACGTGATGGAGCATCAGAAACAGGAAAGGAACATAGGGAAGGACACTCGTAAGGGGAGGAGTGGAAAGCTGTAGCGGTAGCGAGATCGTGCCCAGGCTCACAGTGGACGGATCCGACCTCGGAACCCGAATACGAGAGAGCCGACAGCTTTACCGCGGCGGCATTACAGTCGGAAAGGCAGTTTCTGTCGAAATCTGCCGCTTCGGTGGTGTCCTCTACGAAAGCACCCGCAGGTACAGTGCGCGCTATGTAGAAACGCGCAAATAGGGGTGCAGGTTGAAGCTAGTTCCCTTTTCATTGAGTTCTCTATATTTGATTATGCATAGATCCAAGTCGCGCACTTGGAAAAAATTTTCGCACTTTCATCATAAAAGTGCAGAAAATATTTCTGTGGTGTAAATTTTCCACTATCAATTCAATATTGGTGGTATTTTAAGAATTCCATGTGAACATTTTTTTCACAGCCGATCGGGAGCATGAAAATTTCCGAGTGTAGCGCATCCTTCATAGTGCGCTGCCAGCATCCTGGGAACCTCCAGGAGCTGGTCTCAACGATGTTGACTCAATGACCGTCATTGCAGACCCACAATTTGAACATGACTATGAGCACATGCAGAGGGTGGACACAGCAATGACAGTACCCCACCTCAGTAGTGGGCCGAGAGGTGTTAACCCCTATCGGACCTTTTGATGATGCTCTAATGGGCAGACTCCTTGAAGACAGTGTCCAGTTTGAAGGCGTTGCGGCAACAGGAGGAGATCCTCGAGGCCCAGCATGCTGCTGCCTCTCATCTCCGCAGCAATTCGGATCCTCGATCGGCTGCCACCTTTGATGGAATCATCTATCGCGATGACTCCCCGGCGTCGGTGAGGAAGTTCGCGTCCGATGCTATGGAGCTCTGGCCGTCTGGTAGATACTAGATGAGCTTGCTTCTCCGGACCATCTCAGTAGGGCCGACCCTACCAGCTCAGCATTCGCAACCGCTAGAGCTACGGAATTAAGCGAGGAGGCCGCCGCTATGTACGGCTCCGCACGCCCGGAGGAGGACCCTCACGTATCGGCTAGATGGCCGGCGGCCCCCACGACCGTGTCTGATCTAAATCTCAACAGTGAGCTCTTATTTGCCTCATACAAGATCGAGCCCCTCTGGGCTAGATATCCCAGAGGTCTATCATCGAGCCCTCCACGCTGTTGAAAAGCACGGTTACCGAACCCTCAAGTGGAGCGAGGGTTGGACTGCTCTGGTGAGCTCAGCGCGTGATAGAAAGCCTAACTGGTCATCAGCACTGGGCCGCCCAGAAGAACCATTATCGGATATGTCAGTACCTCCTGTACAAGGGGGCGGACCCGAATGCCCCTGACAATGTAGAATGCGTAGATGGAGTGGTATAAATTACGATCCTCTCATCAGAGAGGGAGAACCCCAGTCGAAGTGGCTAGGAATGTTGGTAACAGGAAGATAGTACAATTATTCGATCGTCACAGAGAAGCCCACGCGTTAGACGAGAGCAATGAAGAAAGTGTTTATAGAGATGTTCCTGAGCAGTAAGGGACACCACGTCGAGCGAGCGGTTGCTTTTTAGCATCACAGATTCGCAGAGGCGTTGAGAGCAGTAGATGCCCATGGATGGCAAGCCTTGAGGTGGGCTGATGGTTGGACGGCACTACACTGGGCGGCTCAGGAGGGCCGCGCCGACATAGTAGTGGTGGAGAGTCTTTGTGGTCCCCCCTTCTGATCCTACTAGGTATCATATCTTCTAACTCGCAGTGGTGACCCATTAGCAGCTGATGCAGTATAAGCCTATATACGATGAGGTTTGACGGACTATGACCGACTGCTTCCCTTCAGACTGGCAAGACACCACTGGACGTTGCGCGTGAGAGCGGCCACTCTTCGGTTTTGGAAGTGCTCGAGCATGCCAGTGGGCAGCCATGATGAACACGTCCTTGTCACATTAGTTGAAATACCATCACTGCCGCATGAGATGAAATTGTGTTTACATTTTCTGCCTCAGTCAAATCTTGGTTGTATTTCATAGTGTCATACAGTTGAAAAGACTGGCAATCATTGGACCCCAGTGTATACTAATAACAGGATTACCGTCACAGTATTACACTAGCAGTATGTAAAGGAATAGTTGACTATACAGACTACTGAGGAGTGAACTAAATCTCGCTAGTACACTGTGCTTCTAAACGTTGTCTAGGTAGAATTACATGCCTAGATGCACCACGTTGGGTTTATGAAAAGGGAAATCTTCGCTGTGCGTAGGAGATGTGGAAAATACATCCTTCCAACTTATATTCCTCCTTCCAACATCCGAACTTATATTTCAGGAACGGCTGTGATTGACATAACGGGTTATCGATACAGATGTATCCCTGCTGAACTTCAGCAGCTGAAGCCGTTGGAGCGTGAAGTTATACGACTACTAAATTGTATCAAGTGGTCATTATCTTACTTTGGACCAACCCTGATGGGCGTGCAGTCTAGCGGGGTTGATTCCCTTGATTATCCCACTTCGACACTGCAGCGAACTCTGAACTCGACTACTAATAATGGAATTGACAAAAGTTTCTTCCTGAAATTATAGGATCGAAGGCCGTATGACTGTTCTTTGAGCACAATGTCTAATCAGGGGCGTCCCGAGGGTAGAGGATGATTTCAGATTGGAGCCGATGTATTCGGACACTGCTGCTCGAAATGAGTAGTCGCAAGCGATTAACAACTCAACACTATCAAATTAAGAGAATAACCAATATGGACAAGTAGCGGGAAAAAAACTATCAGGGTTGAACTAATCTCCTCAACTTTGATTGAGTCCAAGAAAAAGGCAATTATTGGCATGTAAAAGGATTTTATATGAGACACCGAGAAAACCGTGCTCTCTTTAACACATCTGCATTTGAGTGTAGAAGTGGCCAACTGATTTACGCTCTCTGTTCACGTACAAGATCAATGAATATCTGCTCGAGGCTCATAGGGAAGGTATTGTAATAAACAACTCCACAGGTCGTTTTCAAACCTCCCTCCATGATTCGGAACAGCTCCGCTATCTGCTGTGTCGGGGTCCAATCCTCACACAGGGGGACCCGGAGAGTCACCGAAGAATTGAAGTCTTCAACTACGACCACGCCGGTGATGCCAAGTGCCCGGCTGAGACTATCAGCAAGGAAAGATGCCGAGAAGCCCTCCGCCAAAGATGCCTCTATAGATATCGCCCGGCTGAATCTGCACAGAGAGTAGCGATAGAGCACACTAACTCGTTTTGGGCGAATACTGATACCTGTTGGTCAACTCATTGACGTTTCCAATGACACGCATTTCTCCGTTGATCATAATGCCTACACGTGTTGATAAGGCTGATGCCTCATCCATATAATGAGTTGACATGAGAATAGCTGGACGGCTACCCTCTCCTCTGAAACAACGATGAATCATCGATACGAACAGCGAAAGACGTTAAGTGGCTTCTCATTCTCGACGCTCACGATGATCAGGAAGTGTCTCACCTTAGAACCGCCCAAACAGAGCGCCTAGCTGCCGGGTCCATTCCAGTGGTGACCTCGTCCAGGAACATAACACGTGGACAACCCAGCATAGAGAGAGCAAGGGAGAGCTTCCGTCGATTCCCTCCCGACAGTTTAGCAGATCGAGTCTTAAAGTGCTGGCCTGACCAAGAAGGATACGCCGTAGTATGCAGTGACCAGGTACTCACCAACCCCGAGACCAGCAACTATAGAATCCATATGTTGCTGATGGAAAGAAGCGGAAGAGTTCAACCTCAGACCCTTGAGAGTAGAAGCCAGCTTGAGATGTTCTTCGACCTACTATGAGAGATGCCAATAGTTGGCATCCGCCGAGACCACTACTCACCGTGAGCTCTGGAAAGAGTGCATCTACCTGCGGGCAATACCCGCACACTTGTCTCCTGTAAAGGGAGCCAAAGTCTAACCTCCCAGACTGCGCCAACTTGAAGTCTTCGGGTCTTCCCAGTTTTATCAGACCTAAGAAGAGATCAATAAAATGCATCCCAGACGAAAGTTCATACCCGCAGTCGGGATTTCATCTCCAGTGAGCATCTTCATCGTAGTCGTCTTGCCCGCGCCATTAGGTCCCAACAGCACGACTATCTCTGCTGGTGCCACGCCAATGTCGAGAGACTCTACCGCTGCCTTCTTCTGCTTGGGGTAAATCTTCGTTAAATTCCGTACCTTACCACACCTAGCATCCAGAGACCCATCTCGCCTTGAAAGACAACGTCCCCAGGGCTTGATAACAATGGGGAGAACTGTTCGAAGAATGTGTTCCTAGCCATCCGTGGAAAGTTCAAAATGAGTTCCCCGAGGAATATTGTAGCTTCCTGGATGATTTCCTGCTAGCATCTCGAACCACAAACCAGAGCCTCACCGAAATGCCCTCGACGATAGTATCAGCTCGAAGGGCTTCCTCTCGGAGGTCCTCCGCCGCCTCGAACGACCGATCAACCTTTTCCGGCGCCGTCAACTTGGTATATTTTTTCATGCGTCGAGACATCTTATCTCGAGTTTGATACCAAACCACTGCAGTAGCTGTGAAGGAGCTCAGTCGGAGCAAGGGAAAATGAAGATATTCTTACTGATGATGATGACGCCTATGTTGACCAGGATGGGCGTCAACACGCCATTCTCCGGCTTGAACGTGTCGGACCACCCTACCGGACTGCCCTCCTCACCCGATGCCCGATCAACGATAAACTAAGGAAAGGAATCAATAGGCAATCAGGGCGTGAGTTGCTCCACGAGATTCCCGAAGAACTATGATGAACAGCAGAATTCATGATTAGTGTATACACGTGTTGGTGACCTCGAGAAATTCCTGTTTTCTAGGACCCTGCAAGTCGTGTGCAAATTCTTGAAATTTAGTGAGAAAGCTTCTGAACTCGGACGTATATTCCAACACTGTGTATAGGGGAAATCTCAATGGACCGCAAGAGCCCCACCTGCAAGCTGAGTAGCTGCTGTGTGCCTCGTTGGTAAGAGAGTGTCGGAATGATCGTCAGGACGTCACCGAAGATAGCCCCAGCATTGCGAACACCTTCAGTGAAAAATACAACAGGACATACCACTCCTCTGCCACTTCCTACTCTCGCTAGAGTTGGTGCTCATAATCCACACTATGATGTACGGGATGATGGAAAGGCAGTTCCACATGAGGGGGAAGGAGTCAGCGACTTGCCTCCCCGACTTGAACAGAGGCGCCAACATCATGGCTGCCGGTATCAGTGCTAGGAAGGTGGTAACGACCAGAATCAGATAAGCCAACCAACGTCCGCCGTTACCGAGTAACTACAATAGGAGCAAATCGACGGGATGAAGGCAGTGAACGACCTCACATCGGAGCCGACGCCTCCAGCAGCAATGAGCAGTACTGCTAAGGAAGGTAAGAAGCCGAAGACCAAACGATGGGTGAATAAGGCAAAGTACTGCTGGCGTACTGACATTCCTACAGGGGACTCTGTGGGGTGATGAGCCTAGAGAGGCAGGACTCACCCATGAACTTGAGCTGTGTCGTGATATGGTCGACCCTCCAGAAAACGATAGTGATAACTACATACGCGAAAGGCACGAAGCCAAGCATGGTGAGCATCGGGACCAGCAACTGGGTTATGTCCACCAAGTAGTTTTTCATGTATGGCAGCGGGGAGTTCGCCACTGCTACCTGACAGACAGAGGTAGCTTGCCCCAGTCCAAGGGGGGCGACCTACTGAGAAGTTTCGGGAACCAGCGATGATAGACAGAGTAGAATTGGTGAATGCTGAGAGCGCCATGGGGAGGCTTGACACAATGCTCGAGTCGTATTGCAGTGTGCCGTTACTTTCATAACGGGCCAGGAGTGTACTGAAATGGAAGAAGACATGAACGAGGTTAGAAAGAAATCAGATGGAGTTACCCGCCTGCTGGTAGGTTGTCAGTCCATTTCAAGAATGGTCCTAATGAGCTGCTATTGAAGGCACTCCCTTGTACGTAAACAGGGGTATTTGAGCCGAGAGTGGTATGTGATGGCATCAGAGGTAGGAGCGGTGAGGTGACCAGTGATCCCTTAGGCTCTAGGAAGTGGGATAATAGGAAGCCAACTATGATGAATATGATGGGCAGGATCGTGTTGAAGACGAATACTTGTCGCACTCGGAAATCCATTATTGCTACCATTCTGGCCAAGTAGAAGACGGATCCTGAGGTACTCCTACATAAGATACGAAACATGTCCACTTACGGGCCTTCGATGGCTTCGTTGTCCCCACTGAGCGCCATATTGAATCTTCTCTATGCAAAGCTGAGGGCCTCTCATTAACCTCTATCGGTCCTCCTACTTCCTTCTCGTCAGAGGTTGCTAGGAAAACGTCTTCTAATGAGGTGAGGCTCATGGCCACGTCAGGAGCTCCGGTAGAATTGAGGACATCCAAAACGTCAGCATAGAACATCTCAGCTCCCAAGGGCAAATTGACGGAGACTTGTTCATCCTTCACACTCGAGCCTTTGATACCCGGTATGATATTCTTCAACTTGCGCATCACCTCATCTCTATCTTTCTTGGAAGAACCTAAGATACGACGCTGCACTACGATGGAGTTGGGGAGCTCTACAAGCCTTACAAGTAGCAGTAGAGTGTAACCAGCAGTGACTCCAGCATTGGTAGCAGCCAGGCGGGCAATGTTGTACTTGAGGAAAAGACTGGTCCCGTAGGCCACAAGGCGACCCCCTCTCATTATAGCAATGTGATTCGACAGCATATCAGCTTCGTCCATGAAGTGAGTCGTCATGATGATAGTCTTCCCTTCATCGTGAGCAAGGCGTAGTAGAACATCCCACAGAGATCGTCGAGAGTAGGGGTCCACGCCTGCACTTGGCTCATCCAGAAGCAGGTAGTCAGGATCACCGAGGAGTGATATGGCCAGAGACAACTTACGCTTCATACCGCCAGAATAAGACGATACACCTGGCAGCACATAAGTGATACGAGATCATGACAATGGAGTCTCAGATGCCTTGACCAAAGCTATAGTCCTCCTGTTTCTGCTACTTAACGACGAAGATTTAATCAACGTAATCTCATGATAAGAATACTAAACGTACACAGTGGACATACACCCTACTTAGGCGGTGAGAGCACTCATACCAGTGCACATGAACAGCTACATGTTTCGGCGAGAATATGAAAACTTCGGGGAAATATTGGTCATTTTTTACACATTTCTACCCGAACTTGTATATAATCTCCTAAAGTTAGTCACAAAATTCCTTATCTCAGCTGAGAAAATCTAACATATATTCCGACACAGTCCACCATAGACCTCTCCTGAATGTCGCCCGTGCTTACATTCATCGATTTCAGCATTGTCAAGGCCAACGTTAGCCATCATGTTGCGAACTTCCTCATCATCGGGTGATGGCGAGCCTCTCAAAAGCGCGAAAGTCTGCAAATGCTCCTTAGCCGAGAGCTCAGGGAAAAGTATATCCTGTTGGAGGCACACTCCCAATACTGGAGCAACATCAATATCGCCTTTAGCAGTGATGAAGTCCACAACACCATCATCTGGTTCGAGTTCACGACATAGCATTCTGATAGCAGTAGTCTTCCCAGCACCATTGTGACCAAGGAGCCCGAGGATCTCCCCTTTATCGACCTTCAAGGAGAGCTGGTTCACAGCTGTAAGGACCGACTTGTCCTGCCGACGGAAGCGCTTAGTGAGGCCAGTTACTCTGATGGCAGGGCGCTCCATAATGGTGTCCTCAGCGACACAATCGTCATTGATTGTCGTTGGCTCATCGCAGTCCTGGACTACTTTCGATCGGCAACACCGACTAGGGTGAAATCGAAGTTCCGCAATTCCGAGCAGAACGAGAATACCGCAGGCTTGAGCAATGAGGAGATAACCGAAATCATATTCCCAAGCATTGGACCAAGTCAGACCAACACGTCTTCCTCTCAAATCCAACCCAGCAGTGATCTCGCCGCCTCGCATACTAGCGAACCACGGTATGATGGAGAGAACTGTTTTCAACGCCGAAAGGCGCTCTACATTTCCTGTCACCAGAAATGCGATGTAAACAACGCTGATGATAAACGTCGCCGACAAACCGATTGAACTGGCCGATCGGACTGACGCTGTAAATGAAGATGCAAGAATAGCAGCAGCCACTAGTTGCCATAAGAAGAGGAGATAATGTAGCCAGACTAGTGACCATGATGAGAATACCAATACACGATCAAGGTAGATAACACCAACCAGGCCAAGGGAAATGACTATTGAGACTAGCGAGAAGATGATTGCCCAGTGCGACCAGTACGCCCATTTGGAAACTTTGAGTATAAGAAAATATCGATAATATTCGTACTCTTTCTCATATACCATTTTAGTGACCATAGCTGTAAACCAAAATAGTATACTAATGTTAAGGCACCAACCAGGTAGCCACTTGAACACCCACGGAGCTTCGGCCGCTTGTACTGACGGTCTTGGAAAAGCTTGAATAGCATTCAACGATGGTATATTGGTGATGTTGTTGGTGTTGAAGACCTTAACAATAGCTTCGTCGAGCATCCTCTGTATAGCGACGAAACCCGTGTCAATATACTTGCCATAGTCCAAAACCAAGGCATGGTTCGTGTCATCGATAACGACGATCTGTTTATCTGCTTCACTGTTTGGTGCATATGTCCCATTGATGAGTATCTCATATGCGAAGAGAGTGGGGTCAGTCGAGTCAAAGATGATACCAGCAAAAAAACTGCCAGGTCTGGCCTCCTGATATGCAGTCTTCAGATCATCATCGCTGGCAAAACCTCGTAGCTCGGAAGCATCAATGCCCTTCATAGCAGCGGCAACTAAGAAAACGAGTATATAAATCAAAGGCACTTCACAGCATACCTTTCATGACTGAACTAGCGGTAGAATCAGTCGTAGGCGCCCACCATATACGCTCCTGATGGGCTTCCCATTCGAAGGGGATCCAAGTTGGCGAGTAGGGAATTTGAGTGTCGGTGGGGTACACAGGGCTGTCCAAGAACCTTCAAGTCGGACGATCGTTGTGGAGGAGACGAGCCTTAGACATACCGTCTGGGGGCGAGGACGTCTTCAAAGGGTGGCTGATACACCGACTGACCCGTGAACTTCTCCGCGTGGGTGTCGCCACCGATGTTGGGAAGGGAGAAAAGAAGAAGTGCCTGAGGAGTGGTATGTAACCACGAACCACGATAAAATGCCTTACCACAATAGGAAAGACGACGGTGATGATCGCAGTAGGCAGACTCTTTCGAACAATGAGTAGCTCCTTCTTAAGCAAGGCCTTAGTTTGCCGACCAATGCTGGTCATCCTAGCACGGCTCGATATCAGCCGGGCCAGTATCGTCGATCGCTGATCTCGTCTGTGACGAGATGACGGCATAAACAAACGAAAACTACACTAGTCACGATAGGGGTGACTTTCCTGTCTCCTCTTGAACTTAGGGAGTTGACGCAACGAGCGGAGCGTATTCCCTCACACCACGAGCGCTCCACCCGGCTCTCTTCATCCCATGCAAGCAAAGTTCTCGGTCAGTGTGACGGGGATAACCTTTACGAAACGAGAGGCAACAAACCATGGGGAGTAGGTTGAGAATCATTGAAGTTACGGTATAACTAAACCTTCCAAATGGCCTTAAATCACTGCTAGTGACGCTGAATGTTGCGCGGACACCCGTGTCACTGTGGGCATGGACTCCTTGTCGAGTAGTAGTAGTCTCGCCCAAAGAATAGTCCTTGCTTGTGCGGGGTGCGTGGAAGTGCACGTGCAAAAGGAGTTGTGCACTTCTATTCGGAGCGAATATCGAGATCAGTTGATTATTATTCGATAGCTCTATGTCCGGGCATAAAACCAAAATTTGGCTAGGGTTTGTTGGATGGTTCGAGATTCAAAACCGTGCATAAACCCTGGGGGGGACAGACCCATCTTTTGGTTTCTCTGTAGTATCTGCGATTATTTTCCGCGCGCCAATCGGTCAGCGCGCGCCTATTCATGTAGGAAGGAGACCTCTTTACTTCCAATGGAGATTCCCAATTCCACCCCGCAGCAGTGGAAGGTAATATCAGCATAGCGAACAACCTCATATATGGGAAATTTCAGGAGATTTTTCGATAGATTAACTCGAAATCATATGAAACCTCTAGCCTCCGAGTTTTGGCAGGGCGCGTGTCAACTCACGAGTCCCATCTGGGCACTGCGGAGGATGACAGGCAAGGTGAACTAAGGACACTCAGGACAGTAAGCTTCTGTCGAATCCACCAAGCTTGCTACCTGGAATGCTCCTAGGACCTACATCGGAGACCTCGGTTGGAAAAAATATAAAACGCTCAACACATACTGCTGGGGCACATCTGCGCACTGGGGCTCACATTTGGCAACTTGAAGCAAGCGTAACAAGTATGACCGACCCGAACCAGGGAGTAGTGCAACCGATTCTATGATCAAGACTTCCAGATAACTAACGTGATGGAGTGAGCCTTGACGTCCATGAATAGAACGAGGCAAACAGATAATGGTCATTCTTACAGATGAGTCGCTCTATTCAGATACTCGATCAGCTCGTAATGATGATCTAAAGAGGAGAACTACATAATCGGACAATAGACGATTATACCACACCAACTGCAACTCAATGCCCTTGTTGATTCTAGGAAACCGAAACATGATAATGAGCATAATCATAATATAAACTTGTGCAGATCCCCTTTGCTTAATAAGGGCTTCAGTTTAGTCCTCACCATATTGGCATCAACTGTGACCGTCGTACCATCCCCCATAGTAGGCGCATCGAACCTAGCACGACCGACCACTTTCATGATGATGATGGTGAAGACCATCCAACTATCCCTACGACACTTCCTCCATGATTTTCTCCATCACGGTGTGAAGTCTTCTCGCACCGATATTCTCCACGTGTGTGTTCAAGTCGAAGGCTATATGGGCGATTTCCTGATCACATGTCACTGCTCGAGACACCCTCTGCCGAGCCAACCAACCTTGATGCCATCCTCTGGGAACTCCAATGTAATACCTTCGGTTCGCAGCAGAGCCTAAGGCAAGGCTAAATAACGAAATATCGTTCCCTAGGCAGTGAACGCTTTCCAAGTTCAAAATCGATCATGGTGAGATCCACACTCCTTACCTTATGTTGTTCAATCAAATTGTGGTGAGGTTCCGTGAGTATCCGCACAAAGTCATGCTCTGTCAAAGCACTCAACGTCACTCGTACAGGAAGTCGACCCTGACATGACCAACAACAGGAGCATTTGACTCAAACCTGGGGTGAGTAATCATCCAGCGCACTAGGGCTGTTCAATAGGCCTTTCCTGAGGTTCAAGAGTGCTCCTGGGACCGAGTCTTACACCTGGGAGCATTCTTGTAACTCAGGAGAGGCCTATTGAACACCCGGACTGATTCCAGTCGTAATTTCTGCATCTCCTATGCAATGTCTAAGACCCTCCTAAACTGTTCCGCATAGATAACGTGTTCCCAGCGCCATCATCACCTGCAATTCGGCGAGCATATCCCCGGGCTTTACAGAATGGAAAGCACCGGAGCATATGAAAAGGATGTGGTCGGTGTTCACATTACCATGCCTACAGTCAAGACTTACAAATCAAAGTGAGAAAAAAAACTTCGCTCCGCCTTACTTCGTGCTCACATCTGAACCTTCGAGGATCGGCAATAGATCCCTCTGGACTCCCTCAGAGGAAGCATCACTGCCATGATAAAAACCTCTGACAAGAACAAACCGCTGATTTGCACGCACGCACATCGAAGATACTCCTCACTTGGAAGAATTGCATATCTTATCGATCTCGTCCACAAAGACTATCCCCTCCTGCTCCGTTGACCGGATTGCTGATGCCAGTATCATATCCGAATCAATCATGCGATCCAAGTGCACCTGACTCAATGTTGCCTACGTGATTTTTCGCGCGCCACCAAATTCCCACTTGGACCAGTTTTTGACGCGCCTCTGCAACCGTCATGGTACGCTTCTCCATTTGCCTACTGGTCCCTCCTCCAGCCACGGGTACCTCAACTAATGCCTACCACTCCTTCTACACTTCTGAGCTTCTACTACTACCTGTATGACCCGGATTTGAGGCGGCTTCCTAGAGTCCGATCCGCCACCCACCCATTCTGGATAAAGGTCATTGTCAGTCACAGGAACTTCTACTTTCACTTGACTGATCAGAATAGAGATTGATGCTAGCGTTAGGGAATTGCAAGATTGCAAGATCGTCCCGAAAATGACGAATCCAGTTACCAATACGATTCAATGAAAGTTCAGCGAGTCCGATCAGTTTCATTGAAGCAATTCTCTCACTCATACTATGAGCTTTATGGTGTTCCACTTCGCAAAAAATTACGTGGAGAAATTTCAAGATTGGTTTACGTTACCGGTCATCCAATAGCTTAGCCCTCAAGTGGGCCAACCAAGTATCTTTGTCCGACTGGGCGGACATGGGACCTGGAAAATCGATCAGTTGATCGATTTACTCAGTAGTGATGGTCACCTATGAGAGCATTCAGGATTTGTTCCTCCGCCGCTTCAGTTGCCTTAGGCCTTAACTCATCTTCAAGTCGCGATCTGAAGGCACAGGCTGAATCGGACGCATCTTAGGTTCGAGCGAGCAAGATACGGATTAGGTCCGAATATGAGCCCATACCTTTGTCGAGTCATAGCCATCTCCAGAAGATCTCTAATGATTGAATCGACATCACGCCCATGAAATCCGACTTCGGTGAACTTAGTAGCCTCAACCTAAGATCAAACACCTGTCCGTCTGAGGTCTAGGTACTATTGCATAAATCTTGTTGATCTATTACCTTGATAAAAGGCGCATCCACCAGCTTAGCGAGCCGCCGTGCAATCTCCGTCTTACCAACACCAGTAGGCCCGACCTGAGACCGTATACGAGTGAGAAGAGGGAACAGGACCCGTACCATGAGCATGTTCCTCGGCATTATCTCGGCTCTGAGTTCTTCGTCCAGCTGCTGTCGCCTCCATCGATTACGCAAGGCGTTAGCTACCGCTCTTTTAGCATCGGCCTGACCTATTACGTATCTGAAAATAGTTATGACCGCGTACTGCCAATATACAGGGGGACACCGGCAACGGAGAAAAATGAATGGGTAAACAGTGATTGTATCAAATACGGAAAAAGCGGCTTAACCTCATTAAGGCTGTCTGTGAAGACACTCCTTAGATATACAAATATACACAAGTCGAACGGGTGTCCCAACTTCAGTGAACTAATGTTAGAATTCAGAATTGGAAAATTCATCTGTGAAGTCCAGGAATTGAATGTGAGCGTGAGGACCAGCTTTATGAGCTCCCGAAACCAAACACCGATAAGGTCGATGATTTCGTCAAGGTGTCGAAGATTAGTCACAATAGTAAGTGGATCCCCTTCGACTACTACCGATCCAAGTACTCCACCATCTCTCGTGGTTTCATGTTTTTCCTGTCCTTTGGCAATGGCTTGGGCGCAGCAGCATTATCATCGGTGGCTCCCCCCTCAGTACAGAAGAACCGAGATACCACATGGATTCGACGTGAGAAAAGGGCCGGCAGTCCGAGCCGAACAGAAGTAGAGACGGCGGCCATGTAATGTGGTTACGGAACGGTTAGAAAAATGTAAGTGATTTATTCAACTCGAAAATTGATCTGGTCGGGGCGTGCGCGTGTTTTCATGGCGCGCGGTAGAACTCGACGAGTGCCGGGATCGAACCCGAGTCGTCGTTGCACAACATAGCGAAATGCGTATAATCGATCGAATTGTCGTTGTCCTCCACTTGGCAATCCTACAAGGCACCGTCCAGTTCCGCCATGTCTCATAGGAAGTTCGAAGTCCCCCGTCACGGCTCGTTGGGTTTCTTGCCTCGCAAGCGTACCCGCCATCATAAGGGTAAGGTAAAGTCGT